GCTGGGTCGAGTAAAATGGCGAAAATCAAGATGGCGGCTGTTTATCAAGTGTGATCTTGTAGGCAGGTACGCTTCTTCTAACTCTTTTCTCCGTGAAAGTAAATTTGGTTGATTAGTTAGGGTAGTCCGCATGGTAGTCCGCGGACTAGTCCGTAGAGTAGTCCGCGGAGTAGTCCGTAGAGTAGTCCGCGGAGTGGGGTCAGTGGGTAGTCCGCGGAGTGGGGGTCAGTTTTTTCAACTCTCCCGAGGATTTGTAGTATTGACAATGTCAACTTTTTCCCATTTGTAACTGCGGTTTCGGTATTTGGCTAAATTTTGATGCGGTATTGCGGTATTCTCGCGCTACCATGTGCGGTATTGCGGTATTCGTACCCCCCTTACGCCCCCCTCCTAAGAGTTCTAATTGCGAATTTACCTTAGAATTCATGTTACATGTTACATTTACTCCCCAACCAGATTTTCTGGAAACTGCTTGTAAATGGTAACGACCTTAGTGTCGCGAGGGTTTGCAAAGAAACGTATTTCTATTTCAGCCCAGTGGACGCGTTTCGGCGTTGTTTTTTTGTTCGAAGTGAGCAGTTGGCGTAGCCAGCGGTAATTCGCGAAAAGGCAGAAATTAAAAATGGCGGCCAGTCGGAAAGTTGTGTTTAAAAACTTTATTTGAATCCTTTAATCCTTTGCGCTTTTAATATGATGGATTTACCAAAGGAAAATGCAAGCTACAAGCTAAAAGAGTACTGGGACACGCGTTTTTTAAAAGAAGAAACATTTGAGTGGTGCAAAAGCTATGGTGATTTTAAAGATTTGCTATGCAAGCACGTGGGAAAAAGCGATCGCATATTGATGTTAGGATGTGGTAACAGTATGCTCAGCGAAGATATGTATAATGATGGATATAGGAATATTGTCAATATCGACTTTTCGTCAATAGTTATAAATAATATGAAGAGGAAATGCCAAGGCTTGGTTGACATGGAGTGGATTGTAATGGACATCACAAACATGTCCTTTGCTCCACGTTCATTTGATGTTGTTGTTGAGAAGGCAACACTTGATGCTCTTCTGGTGGAAGAAAAGGATGTTTGGAATCCATCGGAGGGCACAAGGAATACTATGGATTGTGTTTTGTCTCAGGTGAGGAGTTATAACTCCTGCACAGCTTTTGAAAATTTAAGCTTAAATTTAATTTTGTATTGGACTGGACTAGAAAAACTTGACCCGAATGGAAGGATAATTTGTCATTGGAGTAACGGAGGAGTGGAAGAGGAAGCGTTTAAATTAACTTTTAAAATCTGATTTTTTTGAAAATCCCAATAAGAATAATTATTAAGACTAATTATTAGTCTGGATTGGCAGAATACCCGACTCACTCAATATCTAATTTTAACAAATCTGCTCCCACAGTCCGCAGTTGTCTGATTTGCAAAAAAATATTCTGACATCGACTGCGGGAGTGCGGAACTGCAGGAGCACTAGTATACCGTGTCCTATAAGCACACTAGTTACTTGACATTGACTGCAGGAGTGTGGACTGGGGGAGCACTAGTTGTATACCCTCTTAATATTAACTTAATTCTCAGGGACTGTGGGAGTGCGGGACTGCAGAAGCGTTTTACTCACTTACATTTTAGCATTCATTGACTACTGAACTGTGACACTGCGGGCCCAGCATAATGGACCATGGCTGTGGGACTGGGGGATTGAATAAGATATTTTGTGGGTCGGGTATTAGACGTAATCGCTACTGCAATTTTTATCTGTCCTTTCTTCCGTGATACGGATGATACAAATGGTCATCTTGGCCAGACATTGTCCCTTCTCCAGCTGTTATTTTGAGCCCACAACAGTATGAAAATTTAAACTGCAATTTTCAGGGAGGTGTACGCTGAAAGAAGTACATTTTTCTCAGGTGTTGATTATAGTCATACAGTGTTATTTTTATCAGCCACTTTTCTTTATTCCTTTTAACAGATTTCCCAAGTTTTAAGACGTGGAGGACGCTTTATTTCAGTAACATTTTCACAACCCCATTTCAGGAAGCCTTTCCTGGCCAAGTCACACTATGGTTGGTCAATTTCTATGCAGACATTTGGTGACTCCTTTCATTACTTTTTCTATGCCATGAAAAAGGGTGAAGAAATGAGTGAAGATGATAAAAAACTGGAAATAAGTGTGAGGGATAAATTCAACCCTAACAAGCAGGAGAGGAGCAGTTTTGTTCATGAACTACCAGAGGACAAAGAGAACTTTTTATTGAACATAGCATTATAGCACTTGAGGATTTAAACACCATTGCTACATTCCAGGGAAAATCTTATTTTTGTGAAGGCTGTTAGCCTCCAAAGCAGGTGTTTTCTTTGGGCGCACGAATGTTTTTGTCGCAAAAGTGCCATGTTAAAACTCCAAAAGAGAGGATGAAATGGGGCGAGTGAAAGGAAGCAGGGGAGGGGGCGGGGAGAGAGAGGGAGAGTTGAGAGTATTTTTTTCTCTCCCCTCCCCCTCTCCTTCTTTCACCCTAGCACCTACTCTGAGGGTTGCTCTCCCCAATCTTCCTTTAGAGAGAGAGAGAGATATTCTGTTTATTTCACCCACTTGCAGCAATAACTGAATTGTTGGGGAAGGTCATTGTCACATACAATTAACCATTTACATACATTCACTGAAATTTATAAGTTACAAAGTCATTAATTCTTCTGGTATGACCATGTTGACGTCTTGGAAGTTGGACCCTCATATTGTAGTGAGACTCAAAAGCGGCAGGACAGGGGATGATGTTCTTAAGGGGGGACATTTGGCGTGCAGTAGCCATAAACCGCTTACAAGCTCCTACTCTCCTGTCACTAAGAGACTCCAGGCCGGCCAAGACCAAGGCTTCCGCATAGTCTACCCGGCCAAATATTATTTTGAGGGCTTTCCGCTGTACAGACTCAATTAACTCATCAAGATATAAAGGGATCGCAGCCCAAACTGGCGAGGCATACTCAACAATGGATCTAACAATACTACAGTAGACTAACACGAGATCGTTAGTGCCCAGTCCAACTCTCTTGAGGGTCCGCAGCACAAGCAATCGCTTAGTAGCTTTTTTATGGATACTGTCACAGTGTTCGTTCCAAGAGAGGTCATTTGAGATAATAACCCCTAAGAGTTTATAACTAGATACTCTATCAATGACTATACCATTAAGCTGAATCGGCGTTACAAAGATGGCGGCTACAATAACAGGAACATAAAAAAGCAGCTGTTGCCCCTCCCCTGTCCCTTGCTATNAACAAGCATAATCATAAACCACAAAAAGGGGTGCATTTATCGAAGCAAAGGTTTTCTTTAGGCATAAAAAAATTTTAATGCCACCATTTGGTAGTTTATTAAAATCATTGTTTACTCCTGTTTTTTTTTTGGCCCATTTTTAAATTTTAATTCGCCCCTTGGACCTTCCCCCCCCCCCCCCACCCCTTCTCCCCAGAACACTTCATCGAAGCCAAAACACCTTCCTGTGTAAATTTCCATTTGGATAAGGCTTTATATGACATCTGGAAATCAAACAGACCCATAACTGGGTGCGCAGTATGGTAATATACCAAGGGTGTGGGAATAATTACGAGGGTAACGTCAACAATCCCATCCAATAAGAAATCTATTATAGAATTCTCCCCGATTGCCACTCACCAACCAGAAGACTTGTCCATTTCACTCAGCACTTCCTTGATGTGCAATAAAAAATATTTCTTGAAGTAATGAGGATGCATGAGGGATGTCGGACAAGCTGATGTCGTTTCGTACCTGTTCCTATCTGTTGTTCTATAATGTTCAGTGGCAAAGGTGCAGTAAAGGTAGCCTTTACAGTAGTCGCACAACAGATGGAAAATTACTACACGCCGCATTTGTGCTCATTGAATTTCTGGTAATAAATCGGGAACAAGGTGTTTGCCTAGTGGTACTTCATGGCCCTGTTCACTTCTAAAAATAAAACAAGTTTCATTACACACTCTAGCAGCTACCTCATCACGATAGGTCTGAGGACAGAGAGTAAAGCATACATAGCGTAAGTGCCGATTGTAAAGAATCAAAATAAACCACAACTGTAATCATTGGCCATTTTACTGGCAAAGTGCATTGTATTAAACTGCAAATCAGCTGTTTTGTGAAGACTGATTGACTGTTACACATGCATTCTCAAAATTTATACATGTACAAACTGTATGTTTTCATGAGACATGAGATGAGTACATTTTCTTCCTTCTCTCACTGTAGCATGACTTTTACTATGTTGCATATAATTTTGCCAAAACAGGGAAAAAATGGGATAAAGAATGCTTTTAAAAAAATCATGGTTTAAAATCCTTGTTCAAAACCTTTACAGCAAAAGTTGAAGAACAGAGAAACACACATAGACAAGACTTCAATCTACTCAATCACAGAATGCTTCTGAGATTTCATGATCATCAGATCACAATTTCCCCAGCCCTGCAACATTATTTTAAGGAACTATTATTTCCCGCCCCTAAAATTACTGGGGAATGTTTTTCAAAAATAAAAATATGCAACAAAATCATGTAAGCTACAGTTTATGGATGAAGAGCTCATAAGTTCTGCATGAAGTTCTCCTTAATATAATGGCCAGCAAATCCTTGCATTCACATTTGACTCAAGAAATCTGCAAATAAGGTTGCCTTGTCCAAGCGTTCTACTATCAAAGTGTGCACCACACACTGGAGTTTTGACAAGACCTGATGTGGTTTTGAGCAAAGAATATTTGCTGCCGTAAGTTTGAGTTCATCCAGTTTTCTTGGTTTAATGCACTCCAGACATGAGGCTAAAACTGACAAACCTTCCAGTGATATGGGGTTGTTGCTATGAGGAAGAAAGAAAATAAAAGAGGAAGATTATGAATTTTGGATCATATGCTACAGTTGTGGTGCTGTGCTAAACAGCCCCCTGGCCTTTTTCCGCTGGTGGCTTGCATTTGCTCCTGCATTGGGTGACTAGGAAATCTTAATTTTCCCATAAAAATTATTATACTGGGCACCTTGAATATTACAGGTTCAGAACACAGAGCTCCTTTTAACAGGCCATCAACAAGTTCCAAATCTCTCAGTTATTTCAATGCGAGGTAAAGGTAAACTGCAGAGGCACACACAAGCTTATCCTGGTTTCTTTAGCATGAAGCATGCCTAAGAATATTACTACTCCCCCCTGGACAGGATGCCAGTCCATCATGGGTTTACCCCTCAGTGCTATGTCACCAGTACCCATTAATTTATACACTTGGGTGAAGAGACACACAGTGGAGTAAAGTTCCTTGCCTATAGGGAACAATGGGACGGGTGAGACTTGAACCCTGGACATCTAGGTAATTATGGAGTTCGATGCGTTAACCGCTTTGCCACACATGCCTGCAAAATCTTTCTTGACTGAAAATGAGTTTTACTGGCGTGAGAATAAAAAGTCATTTTCATATCATGGCTTGCATTATAGCCTTCCTTTAAACTGAGACTTAGGGCAACTTGCAAATGGCCTATTTATTAAATAGTATATCCTTCATAATAAAAGGAACTAGTGTTTAGATGTTACACAACCAATACAATTTATAACATAACTTAGCCTTCCATTTTTAGCTGAAATAATATTATTACATTAACATACCTAAGGTCTAATTTTTTTATCACAGAAGTTTTGTTTGGATGAGTGAACACTTGTGATAAAGCAGCAATGTGAGAATCACCTGCACGAGAAAAAAAAAAACAATACAACACAACATAGTAAACATGGTGTAAAAAAGAAGAAAAAATGTGGACTGGGCGAAGAAACATGGAAAAACGATTATCCTTGCATTACAGATGGATCTCAGTGGCCAAACTTGGAAAGGGACAAGTGGCCACTTGTAACTAATAATAGACTTTCTGTGATATTTACTAAGTGTTCTCACCAGGAGTTTGTCTTTTAGCTTGGGGAGTCCCAGGAACCCCTCTGTTGAGAAATAGGGGCCCTGTAAGAACATTAGGGGGGCAAAGCATGAAAAACAACTGAGCCCACACTCCCAATGATCTGTTACATGAATACCCACCTGACCCAATAGGGCCGATGGGGTGTTTACCATTTGATAACAATGCATGCACCAATCTTTGCAATGTACATGCGGGACCAACGAAAGTTAAGGAAATAAAATTAAAGTACTTTGAATCTTTTGAGATCATGTTTCTTGACCAAGCAAAATGATGGGGTGTTAGGTTGACCATTAAAATTATATTTAACTGCAGACATTCTATTAAAAGTCTGTTTGACTTGTAGCATGCCCCTGCGCCCTAACAAGTGCATCTTCTTGGCTTTTTATGTGCCATCTCAGATTTTCTTATGAGAATTTCAGTGCCCCCCTCCCCCTCCAACAAATTGACCCAGCCCCCAACAGGAATGACTAAGGACATTATAATGAAGTCTTTCATGAATTACATACTATCAAAATTTGCAATCATCATTTTGATGCCAGAAATAATCTTTGTCAGTAACTAAATATGTGCAAAAATGAGCCAGAAAGCATACTGTGAAAAAGAAAAATTCAAGATTAGTGTAGAGCTAAAAATGGGCTCAATGATCTGACTGCTGGGCACTAAAAAGGCTTATGGGTGATCATTAACATCACATAACAAAACGACTAACAGAGGAAACAAGAGCAAAGGGGTAGGCACTGGGCTGGGAATGCAAGGAACTGTACTGTTTTGATGATTTCCTATGATAGATGTTTGACTACACAGACTTGAAAAAGCTCACCTAAAATATTTTCTCCCAGCTTTAAGCTAGTCAAGGTGCTGTTAATGCACAAGGCATGAAAAATGTCACCGATGAACTCTGAAACTGAGAAAGAATGAAGCATGAAAAACATCAGGCTTGTGTAATATTGTAATGACAATTACACTGCGCTGACATGTGCATATAAATAAGAAAAAATATAAATAAATGATCATTTTTATGGAAGTGCATAAACAGATGATCGGTGGCTTGCAGAACAGGTTTTTTGCATTATTTTTTCAGTGAGTGAAAGCAAGTGGGAGGCACCATGACTTGTTGCATGCCTCACTGAAACAGTCATAGAAAAAAAAAAAATAATGTAATAACAATGCTGATTCAGGAATCTGCAGATCAGAGGCTCTTCAAATCTTTGAATACCATGTCCCAGCTCTAATAACAGTACAATATAAATTTAAATGTTGTTTTTTTTTAAAGAGGATAAAACCATACGACCCAGAGAAAATACATCGGTACCAAGCAGAACTAACATCAAATAATACACATAAAAGAAAAATGGCAAATTTTCAACACTGAGTACTTTCTTAGCTTTACCTCCAAGTCCACAACTACTGAGATTCAAAACTGTGAGTGTTTTGTTTACTGTTAGCATCTCTGCCAGCTTGTTATTTCTACTGGGATCATATCTGTTGCCTTTGACAGACAGGTGTTTCAGAGATCTGTGACCTGATCAAAGAGCAAAATTATACCATGAAAGAATATTGAGATCAACAGTGGAAATATAACACGTGATTTCAGCCCCGTAAACTCCTTTAGATAAAACATATATATAATGGAGTCTCAGAGAAGTCTGAAGGCTGAAGGGTTATGTCCAATATTGCATGTTAATACAGTCATAGCCTGTTGTACCTTCTATTAATTTTCTATTCAGTAAAATTAGGCTGATATATAAATAAAAACCCAGCCAAGGGATAATTATTGATGGAGTCAGTGCAAGGGGTCGGGGAAGGTATGTCTTTTCCATTTTTGCAATCATCCATTCACTCTCTTGTTTAAATATTTTGAAAAAAAAATCTGTAAACAGGATTATAGTCAGTGTTGTTACTACGTAATGTGTAAATAGTCGTACCTGTTATGGCATTAAAGATGTCTCCTTGCCCTGCAGTTGAGATATTACAATTGACCAAACTCAGGGAAAGAAGTGAGCTATTACTTTGCAGTCCATCAGAGATCAAGCTTGCTCCTCTATCCCCAGTTGGACAAGTCAATCGCAGTTCTTGGATGCCAACAAACTCTTTGCAATTGCAGCCATTAAACTGGAAGATTTCACTGGAATCTAAAGCTGGAATTTCTGTGAAATTAGTCATGTTTGATGCTGCTTCAAAAGATCCTGGATAATTCTGATCAAAAGCTGTTTTTGTACAGTTGTCATTCCTGTTAATGAAGTTCAAGTCACCATTGCCAGGCTCATTGAAACTTTCATGCCATGAACATGTCTCCCTAATCGAGCAGCCTTCTTGACAGTTGTCAGCTTCATTGTTTACACAGGAACCATTATGCAATGTGAATCTCTTATTTTTGACTGGAACCTGAAATTTGGTTTTTCTTTTACTTCCTAAGGAGGAAGTACATGCACAGCATGAGCAACCCTGATCAGTGCATTCTGATTCTAGAGAATTATCTTCGCTGTCTGTTGTCTTGGATTTGTGTGTAGAAGATGTGTCTAACCTCTTTAGTGAACAAAAACAAACATCTTTTATTGCTGTTCTTAAATGTGCACAGAAGGCTTCAGAAACTTGAAATGAAGAAAGTTTGAACTTTGTCAAAGACTTGGACTCCTGGTTACACTCACAGCAAAATGAACCAACAAATTTTTCCACAAGAAACTTTGTGATGCTATCACTCACTAGGTTATTTGTGATTTTCAGGTAACGCAGCTCTCCCTGTGTGCAGAGGAGATAGAGTGTATGGATCCATTAACTTCTGTGATATCTCAGAGGCTGGAAGTTTAGACCATTGTCTTCAAGTGTCAGTGACTTTAAGTTTCTCCAACATTTTAAACTATTAACAAACAGTTCAAGGAGATCTTGATGCAGCCAGAAGGCAGTCAGCTCAAAATGAACTAAAGAGCAGCCAACATTTGATAAACTGTGAAACAGTGAAAGTGGCTTTGTAGGTTTAGTAGCTATAGGGATAACTGAACAGTGGTCTGAGGTTAAACTTGTGTCTTGTTGACTGTCATTTACTTGCAAAAGCTCTCTTGGGACATCTTTACATTCATGTCCATCTGCATTGTTAGAGCAGCTGAACACTGCATCAAAGAGATCTGAAGTAGAACTTGAAGAGGTTTCATTTTTGCCTAACTGAGGTAAACATCCAGTGCAACTCCAGGATGATTCACAGAATTTTCTATCTCTCTTTGGCAAAACCGACAAGTCATCATCAGTAAACTCATAAATGTTGACATCATCTAAGACACCTGGAGGAGATGGGCAATTTCCCATTTCATTCATTAATTGCCATGGTAGGGATTGATGAGGATTATCATTGCCTTCAAAAGGAACACTTTCCTCCTTTCCTATGTTAGTAATGTGCCAACCACTTTCTTGTAATGGTAACAAGGAACAATAGATTTTACTCCACAATTCAACAGAGCTTACTTTGCTAAAACAGAATCCAATAGATTTCAGTCTCTTTGATATAAATACTTGAAGGAGATGACACAGTGGCTCAACTCCATTGTTTCTAAGCATGAAAATTTCTAGAAATTCAACACACTCAGCAAGTTGCTGAACAATATCCCAGTTCTTTGCCAGATAAATAATTGATGGATTATAAAGCCTAAGATATGCTGCATATCTTGCACAAGCTGAAATGATGTTTTACAATCTGTAGTTATCACTTTCTGGAATGAAAAAGAAATGAACATGTTATTTAAATGGCATTATCTTTTAAACACTGATTTATTATTGTGGGGGACAAATAATAGGAGCCCGCAATCCTAATTGTTGTTGTTTTTACGCATGCGTCACATAAGGTAGCCTGCATTCGTTTGGACTTCTACTAAGACTGAATGGAATGCACCTAATGCAATTTGATCACATGCATTTGGAGCTTATATCACTCTTGACCTGATCATGTGTGTTATGACCATCTGTCATGTGAAATTTACCCAAAGCACATCACTGGAACAAAAGCATTTTACCTTTGATCGTTGTTGCTTGCACTCTGCAACCTTTGGTTATTACTAGTAATAGTTCATTATTATCATATTTCATACCTGCAGATGACAAACAAATTTTTAAACCACTGAAATTACATCCATTAAGAGCCTCTTGCAGTAGTCTTTGAAGGTAATAAATCTTCCAAAGTTCTTGTTCTCGTGTGATTCCCTTTGTTTTAAAGTACACCTCAGGCCACTTACTCGTTCTTGGCCACTTTGCAGTATAAATGCTTCTCCAAAGTGGATTAGTGTCAATTCCTTTCAATTATTTTTTGGAAAGAAACAGATAAAAAATGTTAAAAAGATTGATGCACCAGAGTGCAGACTCATGAAGTTGGTCTGTGACACATAAAGCTTTTAATGTATAAAGTTCTATTAACAAGATACTTTTTTCCAACATACTCATTGCTTTGAAAATACTGGAGTCTTCAAGTTTCTCAATCTCTAGAGGATCAACGTTTTCCAAAATTGGTAGCAGGAGATATCCTGGAATTCCTTGAAAAAAAGGGAATAGCATTAACGCATCTCAAAAGAAGCTTAAGACAAGTTCAATCTTAAACTAATGAACAAGCTGTGAGCAAGCCATTTTGAAAATTGAAATCTTCTATATAATATTGCGACAAGAACTACGAGAAATCATATTGAAAAATTTGAAATTTGGATATAAACACAAGATCTGAATTTCACTGTTCGGCACATCATAAAAATTGCTATTTTACCGCGGATTGGTTAAAGAAATCATGAAATTTTACCTAAAAATTGTTCTGGTTTCCAGTATTTCACATTATTGATTAACACGGATGAACTGAACGCATAAATCCTCAAGTTTAGGACAATTGGCGACATACTCGCAGTTATCCGCCATATTGTGAAGAATGTCAGAGTGAGATCTGGTAACAAACATTTCCCCAGTGCTTTCTCGGTTAGGGTTTTCCTCGCAATGTGTGATGGGTAGAGACGTTCACTTCCGCATCATCCTGTAAAATGGGCTGTCTTCGTGAATCGATGTCTGTAGATCCTTCCAAACATCGCCAAGAACTTCTCGAGCGTTTGGATATCCTGAGAAACAACGATAGCTTTTGTGACGTGACGATCGCAGTAAAGGACAAAGAGTTCAAAGCTCACAGAGCTGTTTTAGCGGCAGCCAGCCCTTTCTTTCTGACACTTCTGACAAGCGACATGAAAGAAAGCAACGAACAAATTATCAAAGTAGAGCTAGAAGAAGCCACTGAATCTGTTATGGAAGACGCGCTTAAGTACATTTACACTGGGAATGTCACGGTTGTTGAGGAAAGAGCCCACAATTTAATTGCAACGGCAAATTTTCTTCTTTTGCCAAGCCTTAAAACAATGGCGGCCAATGTCTTGAAGGAGGTTGTGTCAACACAGAACTGTCTTTTCAATTATTATTTTGCCGACAAGTATGAGGTGGTGGAGCTGAAGGAAAAATGCCGTGAAGTGATCAACGCAAATTTCAGTGTTGTAATGGAAACAGAGGAATTTCTGAATCTTGATATGAAGCAAGTTATGGAGTGGGTGTCTAGTGATGACGTCATTGTGAATGCCGAGGAAGACATTTTCCAAGGAGTTGTCAAGTGGGTGTCCCATGATAAGAGTGAAAGAGAAAAACATATTCCAGGATTATTGCACCAGATTCGCCTGTCATCAATATCACACAACTTTGTACTGAATACATTGGTCAAAGAAGAACTAATGACTGAAAACCCTACATTTTGCTTGAATTTTGTAGTTGATGCAATGAAGTCAGTACTGAGTTCTAGTGATAGGGGAGCTTCTCAGTTACCAAGGAAATGCCAGGAGACTCACACTGATGGAATATTCATTTGTGGATTGAAAAGAGCATTGTGTTACTTTCCACAGAAAGACATGTGGTACAGGTTAGCTGACAGTCCATTTCAGGATTACGAAGACCATACCCTTGTTGAATATAGGAGCAATGTTTATCTTGCTGATGGAAAAAGACGTCAGCTGGGACAGTCAAATGTTTTGGAATTTTACTCACCTTTAAAGAACTCCTGGGGTACTGTGCAGAGAAATGATGATATTGCTGATTTCACCTGCTTGACAGTCTTAAAGGGTGACATGTATGCAACATGTTTTGTAAACTTTTCCAATAAGGGCCGGATTTGCAGATATGACGGTGAAAAGAACTGTTGGCAAGACATGGATGCTCCACCCTACCAGCAGGAGAAAGCTTGTGTTGTGGCTGATGGGCATTTCCTGTACATAATAGGTGGTACAATGGATGGTGGAGAAAGTGCTGTATGCACAACAAATAGATTTGATCCCATCAACAACAAATTGGAGGAAGTTGCAGGTTTAACTTTGGGTAGGTACAATGCCTGTGGTGCTGCCATGAATAACAAGGTGTTCATAGCTGGTGGGTGGAACTTAAGAAATCGTTATGTCCTTCTCTCTGAAGCTTTTAATCCCCTGACCAATGAGTGGCAAGACATAGCAGATCTCACTATTCCTCGGTTCAATTCAAGCATGGTGTGCTTTGAAGGAAAACTGTATGTTTTGGGTGGCATCACTTATGTTAAGGGTGAGGGATGCATAGGAACTTCAACAGTTGAAGTTTTTAAATCAGAGATCGGTGAATGGCAAGAGTTGTCACCTATACCTGTTAAAAACCTTGGAATATCACAGAAAAAGAACAAGTATCAGGCTTGTTTTGCAAGGTTTGACAAGAAAATGATTGAAAAACTGCAACCACTGTTAAACTGACAATGTTATTGTAATAATTATGAAATTCTAGTCCAAGGCTATTTTTATTGAATTTCTAACGTGAAAGCATCAGTTATGCTGTTATAACTCTGCTTTTTTATGCTTTAGAAGAGAGCATAGGAACGACTTTCAATCCATTTTTTTAAAATTCAAGTCAGGCTTTTAATTAGTATACTATGACAAGATAATCAAGTGACTGTTTTCACACTCGATTTTGCCTATAATAATTTAATTGTATGATCAAGTTATCACCGGTTAAAACTACAGGAAATGAACGGGACACGAAAAAGGTGTCCGTTAATCAGGTTAATGGAGCTGGGGTCTGTTTCTCGAAAGCCCTGGTAACTTTTCGGACCCGGAAAACTGCAACTTTTGTGATTTTTGTGTTTGTATTCAAGATCATGATCAAAGTTTCAATAACTTTGAAAATATTACTATGAAACTATCAGTTAACGAAGCAAAATGACTGGTTTGTGGGGTAGGAACTATACTACTATTCAACTGGGTTTTGATTTTGAAATTTGCCTTCGGCCGTGAGAAGTTTACGGGTCTTTCGAGAAATGGGCCCCTGGCCGCTAACGAAAATGTTTCTCGTAAGTGGCCTCAAGCTAGAGATGTAAGGGTTAAATGGCCGCTTACGGAAGCTGGCCCATTTACAGAATACACACTGAAAATGCAAAAAAAAAATGTTTGTTAGCGTTTGGATATACTGTTGTTCTGGTAATGTTGTAACTCAGTCACAAGCATAAAATTTGAGGTGTTTCAGTGAAGTGTAACGGGACATGTATGTGAAAACTAACAAACACCGGTATACGTGGCGATTAGCGACATGAGGTTGATATTTCAAAATACAAGATTCAGAGATGAATGGGATTTCATTTGAAGGTTTCGCTTATAATTACGGGAGCTTATAGACAAAGCTAAATTCTAACTTGTAAACCCTGAAAATGTCCGCGGCCGCCTACGGGAATTGTCCGCTTACGGGAATGTACTGTACAGAGCTTGTATTGGAGTTGAAACAAGGTTTTGTGAAGGGGGGCGTGAGTAGATCTGTCCGCTCACGAGAGTGTCCGCAGGAGAGCTTCCACTGTGCATTTGAACAAGGGGATGCACAATACGTGAGCCAGCGAGGCAGACGTACAAGGCATCTGAAAACAAACAAGAAACTAACAACTCGGTCAGTAAAAAAGACTGACACTGAGGCCTGAATGATTCCTGCAGTTTGTCAACGAATTCTCTTTTGCCCGCCATAGATTCGTTTCCACTGAAAGGTCAAGCGATTCCCTGGCGGTATGACATGAAGGGAGGGTCCTTAAAAAATTATCCTAGATGTTATTTTCAGTATATGAAAGATTTTTGATGAACGCTGACTGTGGTCCGTTGATGAATTCTTATCGATTTCCTGTAAAAATAACGCCATTAGTATAAATTTATTGCAAAGTACGTAGATATAACTCAGTTAATTTAACAACTTGTATTTACACCTGTACGACTATCTATGCAATTCTGGACTGAAATGATACCATAGTTAGTCCTCTCCCTACTAACTATCATTTCGGTATTTAGAAGTAAAGTAAGTGTCATAGGTCAACATATGTAATTATACTACAATGTAATAGATAAGCACCACATATTGGATGTAGTTTTTGTAATATTCCATGATGTAATCGGTAAAACAGTTTGTGTAAGCAAATATATAGGAAGAGATGAAGATAACTGAGTTAAATATGCTCTGCTATTGTTGAGTTTTCCACCGCTGCTGACCGCCATCGCTCACCGTTCAACGCCAAAAAATACTGGGAAAGAGTAAACTGGCTAGAAAACGGTCCCGTGCAAGCTACTGGGTGAACTATATGGTTAGTAAATAATTATGCTATCTCCTCTGCCTAAGCCTTTTTAGCTGATTAATTTAAACGCTTGAATTATCGCCCCTTTTTAACTGAACGCACCCCTTCGAATTACAGTAACGTACATCCTCTTAACAGAAACCGTTCTCATCCTTTCTGAATACGGTATACAATGCGTTTATCTTTTTTGAATAATTATATGGCATAACATGAATACTCACTGGAGAATGACCCATTTGAGTTCGGCAGCAGACCATCGGATGCTAAAGACGCAGCTCTGACATTAGTACTCGTTATACGTTACTAGCGCGAGCACCTGGTTACAAAAGAAGGTTCAAAGCCAAAAATATGCACCACAAGCACATTAATTTGAGATTCAGATAAGAAAGATTATAAACTTTAAGACGGAATCCATCAGGAAATTGAGTGATTTTAATTTTCAGTGGACAAAAACCTTATACCAGAATAATTTAAAGAATATTGCATTCTTTTTTACATTTTTCAAGGACTGAAGATGTAATTCGACATCTGTAATAACACCAAAGAAAATTTCTTATGGGAGCCAGAGAAAATGAATGTCAAATGCCACAAAATTACATCTTACACAAGAAATTTTTAGAATTTTACCCGTGTTTTCACAATTCTTGCAAAATTTGACATTCATTTTCTCGGTCTCCCATGAGAAATTTTCTTTGGTGTTATTACAGATGACTAATTGCATCTTTAGATGTAAAAATTAATGCTATATTCATTAAATTATTCTGGGACAAGGTTTTTGTCCGCTGAAAATTGAAATTACTTAATTTCGTGTGATAATGATGCAGATGTCGTTCATTAGAGGCGAAAACAAGCCTGTTGTAGGCTGCCCTGAAATTCTAAAGGTATGAAGAATAAGCGCCCCTCTCGACTCAAAAGATTACATAAGTGCAGCAGGCGCAATCAAGATTTCGCGTTGTGGGATAAAAGTATGATTCTACGTGCTGAAAGCAGCTACCTTGAAGTTTTTTATAGGGCGTCCTTGTCGATACTGTACTAGTCCTTCAACATGCTTCTTTTACATTGTATCGTCATTTCATTTTAACTCCCGCGAATGAAAGATCCTAGTATGAGAGTGGAGAGAAAAGAAGTATTCCCCGCAGCCTCATCAAAAACAACCTTTTTTCAGCTTTTTAGGGTTAGGGCAGTCTCCCCTCCATAGGTTTTTTCTTTTTCTTGAACTGAGTGAACAACAATTGTTGTTGTCGTTTGTTGTAAGAACCTTACACATGCGCATGCACACAGCAATATCACCTAGCAGCCGTGGAGAGCTGTTTCGTCTCATTAGGACTCATTTGGTTGAGGACCTTGGTACTAAGTCCTTAATTGCCGCTAATCATACTCATACAGATCAGTTTCTCTGTGGAATGCTCTGGAAAACCAGATCAGATCAATTCATGACATTGACGCTTTTAAAATGTCATTCAAGTGTATTTTTAAGCCACATATATTATAATGATGTATTTTGTAGAATTGTTATTGTTGTAAATACGTAGAATTCTTAAGTTAGTCTCATTAGTTAGGAAGTTTAAATTTGTTTGCATACGACCACATCAGCTTTGCTGAATTTTTAATCGCGTTTGAACGTTATTATTATTACTGATTAGTTGCACACCGTCAAGTCTGAAAAATCCCAAAAGCTGTCACCCCAGTGGCACAGACAGTAGTCAAGAATTTTGCGCTCGAACGTACTCACCATTGCTAATTAAGAAATGGTAAACGTGCAGCGTGCAACCATGGAGTTATGGATGCACGCGGGAGGTTGCTAAGCACGAAAGAAGCGTAAGAGTCGCACGAGGCTATCGCATCGTGCGACTCTAGCTTCTTGAGTGCTTAGCAAACCTCCCAAGTGCATCCATAACTCCATGGTTGCACAGCTGCAACGTTTACCATTTCTTTTATAACATAATCAAAAGAGGAAAACATTATTTTCCATTTGCCTTCGGTTGAGTCATCGGTACGAGTTCAAGTATGCTGCCACCTGCCCGCGCGTAAACAAATCATGTTCTGTGTTTTTCAAAAACTTGCCTTTGAGTTTTTCTTTCGCTGAATCAATCGTTCTCCGTCTTCAGGTAAATTGCAAAACTGTTTTCGTTGTTATTCTGAATGGCATCTGTCTACTTGCTCTTAATATTGGGGTAAAAACTTTGAGGGAAAACTATAGCTGCAACTATAAACACCCACTAAAAAGACTCTAGAAAACAAGCTAAAACTGAATTAATGAAATAATTATCAAGCTTATTTATGTGACAATTTTTGAAATAAGCGCAAAGTAGAAATGAGAAAATTTGAATGTAATTCCTTTAGAATAACAGGTAACACTAATTTTAAAAAGAAATTAACTAGCTTTGTATCGAAATCTGTCTGGGGAAATCCAGCTATGAAAGTCAAAGTTAAAACTGAAATTCGCCGACACACAGCCGGCGCTGAAGCTGTTGTTTTTCGACCGTTCCCTGAACGACTGTTATGAATGAACACTGAGGAACAAAATAATACACACAGAAGTCATTTTTTGAAAATTTTCTTTGAAAACCCAAATGTTTCTGTACTCAAATGAAATTCGCTTATTCAAGCGTAATGTGCCCGTTTAAACTCAACTTCACAACAAAGCTGTCTCGAATTTGAGCGTGTTTCCTAAAATATTTGCTTGAATATAGCATCAGCTTGACCAAAAAGTCAATAACACAATACTAATTGATAAATTTACATTTCAAACAGACTTTCTCTTCTATAAAAAAACAAACAAAAACAAAAACAAAAACAAACAAAATGTACCTTAAATCTTCGCTCGCTCGATTTTCCTTCAGCCGATTCTAGCTGCGGGGAAAACAGAGATTAATTCATCCAGGGCAAATTTGTCGCTTGATCTTTTTGTCTTTTTTTCCTTCAAAACGACAGCTTAGTATTTTCTTCATCTTCCACTTTTCATCTGTGCATTTCATCGGTGTATTTTACCGTCAGGAGAGGAGATTTGTTGAATTTGCCTAAATTTTACCGCGCTAGCTTAGTTTCTTGGCGTGCACCCACGGGCAAATGGTAGTGGCTAACTGACCAATCAGAGCGCGCGGTTTACTTTTGTTATGTTATAAGAAAATGTGGTGAACTATCTATCCGAGA